TGAGGGCTCCTTTGGAAGTCTCTGTGTTTCTGTTGACGTTTCCCAGGGTAAATATCACCAGCCTCCAATTTAATTTTTGTACTCTCATGTCAAATTAAAGAAAATCTGGCTTCTCATAAAGGGTAGCAATTGAACATTCTTTCCTTGAATATCACTGCATTTTTATTTGAAAAAGAGCAGACTTAACATTAAAAGGGTAACAGACACTTTCGGTGTTCTGTGGATGCACTGAGCTGCATGCGTGCAGAACAGTCAAATTGAGTAATTTTTCAGCCCCAACATGGTGTGGAGCTGGGTATTGTAGTAAAGTCAATAAGGTAAGTACATTCTCTGTGAACACTCCCAGATGCCGCAATGACTGAGTACCTTTGTTCCATTTGAACAAATTTAAAATTTTCTAATTACATTTTGTCGCTGAAGTATATAATTAAAGAAAAAACATATTATAGACCACAGAGAAGGTGCATTATTTCCATTGTTTTAGAGGAAGGGAGATCAAAAGCTGCTTGCATGTTGTGAATGCTGTTGAACTGATGCTTACTTGATTTTCACTACAGTAGCTACACACTGTGGGAAACTGAAAGGCTATAAGCCAGATTCCACCAGCTGTAGCGCAGTGTGCCAGTGCACTAATACATTGGGCCACCAGGGAATTGGCAACACAATGCTCATCTTGAGCTTTCTTTCAACTGAATTAATAGGGCCTAAGATGTCAGAACACAGAGAGCAGTTAACAAATCCTGTCAGCCAGTTTGATTTCTAAAACTGGGAGGAACGTTACAACACCAACAGTGTCCTCACATTAATCGACATACTTTGCCGCTTTCCTCTTCAGATGAATGAGCTTTTCCTTTGAAAGGAGATACAATAGTGAGAGTAATTTTCTGTACTATTGTTTTCACATAACATAATATCTCATAAAATAAATTTCAAATTGCATAGCTCCTGGAAAGGGCATTGTTGTCGGAGAGATGGCTTTTTCTCTTTCCTTGCCAAACAGATGGCATAAATGACACCAATGTCACTGATGTGTGACATGACTGCAGCAAAATTGAAGCATGTCTCTTCTCGCTGTTCTCACTCCCAGGTTGGGAATGATTCAGTTATAATGTCACCACTACCCTGCACAACAGCCAATGATGGTGTGGTTGACTGCTTTTGTGTGTGGAAAACTAAGGTTGCTGCCTCCAGAGATTCAGAGTACCACATTGCATTGTCTTTCTCTACACTTCCAGTGCCAGCGACGTGGGAGGAACAAAGTAAGGAGCACCTCTGTACTTGGTACATCTGATGATGTTGCCTAAGGGCAATGTAAGCTTTCCATTTGCCTGCACTGTCTGGCAGTGCAATTATCACATTGTTCGCTTTAATGGATCTTTCCGGAACATCAAAGGAGATCGGGGCTGATTAAAATCACAAATGAAATAAATTTGCATGTGAGAATTTACACTGAGAAATTTAGGGCACTCCAATACAGCACAGTATAAATATGACATCAGCTTATGTGCTGTAAGAAAACCTTTGTAGGTCTTCTTGTCAATGATAGTCACCTCCAGTGCAGACAGTGACAATAGATAGTAATTGGACTCGGTCAGTGAAACAAGAGGCAGCAAAAGACAGAGAGATAAGAAACAGAAATGAAACAGGAAGGATCAACCAGACAATGTCCTCTGGGAACAGTTTATGGAAGAATGAGACCATGAACTCTGAAGCTAGAGAATGCTTAGTTAGCTGCGGTACTTGGAAAGTTATGTTGACCAGATGTAAAGGTTTTGCTACCAACAATATTTGTATAATTAGATGATCTAAAGTGGAATGTTGTTCCTGTCCTGTCCACAGATATCAGAAGAATATGAGTTTAAAAGTACATTTTGAATGTACAACCCTAGGAATTCATGGTTTCTCTGACTGCCTTCTGCAATGAATAAAAATGGTCCTGGGTGGGAGGGGCAAAATGGGGGCAAAGACAAAGAATGGGGGAAAGCCAGCAGAGGGAGCAGGAGTCTACTCCTTTATCCCTCTCTCTTTCCTTCATAGGGCTGCAACTCTTTGTTGTTTTACACATCAGCTTCCTGCGAGATGCTGGTTACCTCCCAGTACATCACCCAAATGGACAGTCTTCATGAGCTCAAACAGTGAGTGTTGGCACACTGTCCATCTGCAGAGGTCATTCCAGATGAGTTCAATCCTGTCCTCACATAATAACCACATTGATGTGCAAGTGCACACACACACTTTCCAGCTTGTGTCATTGGAGCAGAAATAAGAACACTAACTGGTTTTCCTATCCCTAGTTCAAGGGATAGGATTGGAAGGCCAATTATAATGTCCCCAATGCTGCCCAGACCAACTGGTTCAGACCAAAAGCTAAAGCAAGGATCTTCTGGGTTTCAGAATAAGAAATAGATTTACTAATTGAGTCATCAGAAGAGCAAGATTTACAAACATTCTTATGTTCTTTCTGAATGCCTTGTTTGCAGAGATAAAACAGGTCTAATCATGGCTTTGAGTCAGAGGGCTACTGCTGTGATTAGCATGATCTATGTTAGTGGAATAGTTGGGGCTATTCCGTGGAGAGTCCAACAGGGCAGGGCATTGACCTCTTGGATGAGATAAACTGGTCTTTGTGTGTAATTCAACAACAGCTGCAGCCTTTGTCAGATGATCATAGGCCTGCACTGGAGTTGAAACCAGTCCAACCCAGCAACAGAGGCCACGTAGCTCCCAAACCAGAACTTCTTAAAAAAAAAGTCAACAAGGTAATACATCAATGTCTCTCAATTTAAGTCAGTAAATGGAGGAATTATAATACCCATCCTGCACAACACAGCAAGGTTACAGGACAGATGGAAACCATTCAGCCTGTTGTGTTTGTGCTAACACAAGCTCCTCCACTGAAGGTATTCCCATTCCCCTGTTCTTTTCCCATTCCCCTGTTCTTTCCCCATTCTTCTGTTCTTTTCCCATATGTTTTATTATTTTATTCTTACGTATTTATCCAATTAGGCATTTGTGGTGAGGAATTCTTCATTCTAACAATTCTTTGTGTAAAGAAATTCCTTAAAACTTCCCCCTTTTTTTCTTTTGGTTTCCTCTGGTTACTGAACTGCAGTGGAAATAGTCTCTTTATTCACTCTATGAAAACAATCCATAATTTTGAAAATGTCATTACTGTCTCATTAATGCTTTTAATCCATTGGGCGTTTCATTTAGGTAACCGGTTACAAATCTTAGCAAGAGAATATTCAAGGTTTATATGAAAAGGATCGCTCTGTTCCCTTTCTTTGTGAATCCTGATCCCAAATAAAGGATGTGTTTGTAATAATAATAATAATCCTTGCATTTGATATAGCGCTTTTCACGTCTTCTTGATGTCTCACAGAATATGCTGTAAAGTGAATTGACTGTATATTTGTGGATGAAACGCGGCAGCCAGTTGTGCACAGCAGTGTCCCACAAACAGTCGTGGATTGAAAATGACCAATTTATTATTGTTCTTTGTTTTGGAGGGATTATTATTAGGCGTGTGGAGTAAGGAAACTTGCCCAAGGTTTCTCCCTGCCTGGAATTGAACCCAGCTGTCTCGCTTGCAAGGCGAGGGCTCTAACCACTGAGCTACAGGACTTCACAAAATGAATATGAAGCCCTGCTAAAATGGAACATGCAGAACTTTTGTTGTTCAGACTTGAGCACCATTAAGCATGTCATCTCCCCTGCAGTTCCTGTTTACGTTGAAATACCACATCTGCAGGTATACAGGACAGATCAGGCTAATTGTACATTACCCAACAGATAAATTACTCATTGTGAAAATAGAGCAGTACTAATTCTTGCATATGATTTAGTGCTTTTCACATTGGGAGAACACTTCAAAGGAATTATTATAAAGTGTAGTGACTGTATTTCTTGTAATCGAATGCAGCAGCCAATTTGCAAACAGCAATGTTTTATCTGAGGAATTGGAGTAAACATAGGAAAGGGAGACCGATTCAGTTGAATCAGTAAGATTAAAGCCTGCATATATGCCAAATATATGGTAAAATATTGCCATCTTTAGAAAACAATGTTAGAATTGGCTAGAACTGGAATTGGAGATCAGAATGATAGATTGACTAATGATTGATTTGGACTGTAGCAAGTGACACAGCATTTAATGTGGGAGTTAAAAAATATTACCTCTACAGTGTTGCCTTCAAAAATAAATTCCCAAACCAACAGTGTTTGACAGGTAGATTTAAGCTTTTGCTTATGTCAAGTTGGTTAGTCATTGAAATGATGCAGAAGGCTCTGACAGTCTGCTCCAGAAAAAAAAATGTGGTTGTTCAATAAACAGTCGCATAGACCAGAAATCCATGTCTCATTCCTGGTCTGTGAAAAGCTAACTGATCTCAGCTGGGATACCACAATTGGCATGAATACTCCAGGACTTGGTGTGCATGTTGGGTGGAGGGGGAAGTCCCTGGGTTCCAGCTACTGATCATTATTCAGTTCAGGTATTCAGCGTGCTCTCTGCTGGGAAGTGTAGTTTATGGATCTCGGAGGGTGAGAACATACTGAATTGGATCAAACTTGGCTGCAATATCTGTCTGGAATGCATTGCCTGAAAGGGTGGTGGAAACAGATTCAATAACAACTTTCAAAAGGGATTGGATAGGTAACTGAAAAAGAAAGAATTCCAAGGATATGGGGAAACAGCTGGTGAGTGGGATTGAATGGGTAGCTCTTCCACAGTAATATTCTATGATTCTATGAATATCCTCCATGCCTGATTAGCTTGACAACCACCAATGTCTGGGCTGACACAAAAATAATAGTCACTGGGGTGAAGTGCTGTAGGGCTACTAGTCCCCTAGAACCATACTTCAGAAATGTCAATTCATTCAGTAAGGGAGAGAAATAAAACATTCCAATCCAAGTGGTAATAAAACATAAATGGATAAAAGATTAGAGCTAAACACAACCAAAGGTTGAAATGACAGCACAGTTACTAAGCACTTTACCTGGATTAACTTCTCGATAGTTTCCTACTCCATAAGCATCTACAATGCTCTGAAATCCAACAGTAAATGTATTTGTCCTGTTAAATGTTGGAGGGGTTTGCCTCGTCTCTATCCTGTTCAAGATAGGAGGCAAGGTGGAGCCAGTCAGTTCCTGGGGGAAAAAATCAAATACACCTTTCATTGGCATTTCAAATAAAGCTTGCACTTGGACAACACAGTATTTACCTGCTGTCATGTGGATTGGATATATTAATGTAATGCAATTGGTCATACAATTGGAAATAGTTTGGCGCTTGTGTCTAATTTCACAACTTGCATTCTGCATTTAAGGGAGGATCAGAATCTATCATGGGTTGCTATATAATTCTTATTTAGACAGGATGTTACTCCAGTGTATATGTTTTAGTGGTTCAGCGATATTAAACCTGTATCAGCAATGAGTTACAAAGCAAGAGCTGAAATATATACCAACATTAAAACAAGAGGACATAGTTGATGAGTTACAAAGGGCAATTTCAGGCTATACCAGAAAGTTTTTCTTCAAAGGAGAAGTAATTAATGATTGGAACAGGTTGTCAGGAAGAATGGTTGAGGGCAGGACATGTAAAAGCAGCTTGGTAGGACGTTAGGGTGGATGTTCTGGAGGGATGAGATCAGATGGGACCTTCTTCTTCCAAACCAGTGTTGTGATATTGTGATCCAGTCCCTTTAGAATGGGGGGGGGGGGGCGCGGGGGGGGCGCGGGTTGTAGGAATAACTGTGAATTGTTCATCCACCTACCCTTAGAATGAACTCGGGATGAGCGCTAAGATTGGGAAACTGGTTAAAATATGATGATGAAATAAAAAAGCAGCTTTGTGAATTGGATGCACTTGTGGATGAGGGAGATAGGACAAAGAAATGAATATTGGAAAATGCACTGAGAAGGAACTGTCGATGTATCAACTTATTTTTACACAATAGCCCACTCTCTTAACCAATTGAGAATTCTAACACAGACCAGGCAGAATTTCCCTTTTTTTGTTTTTGTCTTTTAACCGGATTTGTTATCCATATTTCATGAGCTGCTGTTCACATATGTGACCAGAATAAGCACAGGATGAATTGACAGAATAACAGAAAGTCTGGAGCTCAAGATGAGTATATTACTAGACTCCAGGCTGTTGCACAGAGAATCTGGTATATTTGCTCTTCTTAATATAAGCCCTGCCTTTCATTTTTATGGCAATTTTCCTGCAGCATATTAGTTCTCTGACCACTGGTCGAGGATGTGAATACTGTGAAATACAATGCCCTCAGCAAATTGACTATACTTTGTATATCCCCCACCCACATACACATAACAAAACCTTGGCATTTTGTTTGACCCTCACTTCAGTTTTAAACCCTCATCCAAACCTGCATTTAAATCTACAGAACACTTGCCTATGTCCATATTGCACTTCAATGAAGCTGAAACCCATTTTTTAAAATGCTTTCATCACCTTAAGACTAGGTGCTCTAATGTTTTTTTTTGCTTGCTTCCCTCGCTTGACCCTCTAGGGTCCAGTCCATCAGCAACTCTGTGACCCATATGCTCATTACCTGCACCCTTTCTAGGGTCCATTAACTCCCTGCTCCCAGGAGATCAATTCAAGATCCTTTGAATCACACAACGCTCTTGTTCCACCCTAGCTTCTCAATATCTTCAGCCCCACTCTCCTGCCTACACCCTAGGCTTTCAACTTGGACCCATTTCTAGTTCTTTGAACCCTCTCTCACACCATCACAGCTGAGCTTTGAATTACTTTGGCCCTCGTCTGTGGAACTCTTTCCCAAAATACTTTTGCCATATTTTGGACGGCCAGATGTCACTGGGGACATCGATTCTTCCCATTTGGCTCCTGTTAACCCGGCAAGTCAGAGTCACTAATGGATAGCAAAAGAAAGTAATATAACTGGGCTAAACATGAGAGGAGACTCATCTCCCAGTGCTGGAGCTGTGTGGCCTCCGCCTCTCCTCCAGCAATCAGACCTGTCCTCACTCTCACAAGGCCAACCGACCAATTGCCAGTGGAATGAGGTGAAGGGATGGGGAAGGAGGAGAGGATATTGACGACATTTGTGCTGCAATGTGGAAGATAGGGATCTGGGACAATGTGTTTATCCAGACTTAGATTAAATAGGTTTTACATGAATGGTCATGGGGAAAATTACTCAATGAACTGAATTATTTTTATATCTGGTATACAATTAATTGATCTATATTGTCAGATTAGGTATGCATATTTGGGTTTGGGATTTCTATGTGCTATTCAATAAAATAAACTGTTCAATTATCCAATATTCAATGGACAGAATGTCACTGTCCTATTGTTTCAATGCTATTTTTTGGTTCCAGTTAAGAGAATAATTTAACTAATGCAATGATAATGTAAAGCTGTGAATATTCAAGTGGTTTTGTAACTAGCAAAGATTTCACATTTCTGAGATATTCTTGGAACACTTACAGCTCCTTTTGATAATGCGTTGTGGACTTTATTCAGGTCTACAACAGAACACCAGATTTCAGCTATCAGACACTTGTGGGTGATATCCAGGTTGCAGAGATTTAGTGTGTAATAAATCGCCTTCATCTTCCTTACTTTAACATTCCATTGGTGGATGTGTTTAGCAGCAGAAAGAAGCACATTTGTACGGTGTTCTTCTGTCTGGGTAAGTATCTGTTGTCAAAAATAAAAGCAATATCCATAGTACAATAAAAAATCATTAAGGATGTACGAACAAAAATACAATAGTACAAACAGATATTGCATCCTAATTATGCCATAAGCGCTCTGATATGCTACCCTGCGCACATAAATGCCAAGTTGTTGTATTACCAAAACCAAATGTCTCAAAATTTGCTGACTTGTAAATGCTACATACTAAAATCTCAGAGCATAACCAAATCATAACCTGATCATATTATCAGGTATTTGAATATACATTGTGAATTTACACTAATCACAGAAAGAGAACTGTGTCTCAAGACAATATATTTTACACATGGAGCTATTGGGATGTGGAAGGCTGTACCAGATGCAGTGGTCAAAACACAGTCTGTATTAGCTTTCAAGAGGAAACTAGATAGAAATCTAAAAAGGAATGATTTCCAGGAGGTTTGAGAAAAATGCAAGTAAATAGGCCTGAATCCATGTCCCCTGATATCTTTTCTAGTCAAGTCTTTATTTACTTGCCCTTAAACTGCACCCTCATATTCATGTCCCTGCATTCCTCTGCACCCCCCTACCTCTCTGACCTCCTCTCTCCTCAGCACAGTACCCGTTGCCTTCGTTCCTCCGGGTCTGGCCTCCTCCTTGTCCTCCGAGTCCTCCGCTCCACCCTCGGCGGCCGTGCCTTCAGCTACTATGCCCCGAGGCTCTGGAACTCCCTTCCTCACTCCCTTCGTCTCACTCCCTCCCTTCCCATTTTCAGGTCCCATCTGAAGACCTTTCTTTTCGACCGCGCCTTTGGTCACCTTCCTCACCCTCCCCCTGGCTCGGCCCTGGGATCCGTTACTGTAAAACGCTCTGAGACGCCGTCCGGCGTGGAGGGCACTATATAAATCCAAGTTGATGTTGTAAACATTCCCACTGACTCTGCATTAACAGTCCTTTGGGGGAATGAATTCAGCAATCTCACACCTCTCTTCTGTACTATACAGTTTATGGTTCTATGGAAAACAACAAGTTTTCAGCTTTATCAGTCTCATATATTAAAACAATATTGAATCAAAACTATGCACAGCTCACATAAAATGAAAATTTAGCTCTTCAGTCACTTGCAATACAATAAAAACATTATATTTCAGTTGGGAAGATGTTCCAAGGCACTTAACAGTCGTGGGATCTGAGGGTGGGTGGGGAGCGGAATGATGACTAAAGGCGTGGTCAAAAAGGGAGGTCTTGAAATGGATTGGATAGATTAAATCGGATAGATAGGGAGGTGTGAGGGCATGAAGGGATTTGAAAATGAGTGAGAGGATCTTGAAGTTGATCCATTCGGTGATTGGGAGTCAGTGGAGTCTGGCAAGGACTGGTGTGATGGGGATACAGAGTCTTGTGCGGGTGAGTATCCAGGCAGCAGAGTTTTGAATTAGTTGAATTTTGTGTATACTGGGCATTGGAATAATCCAGACGGGAAGTGACGGAGGCGTGGACGAGGGTTTCGGCTGCTTTGGTTATGAGGTACGGATGGAGGCAGACAATGTGACAGAGGTAGAAAAAAGTGGTTCTGGTCAGGGAACGGATGTCTGGTAGAAAGGAAAGCTGGGTTTGAACCTGATGCCTAAGCGGCACACAGTTTGGTGAGTCTGAGAGAAAACCTGGGGAGATTGAGGAGTTTAGACCCACAGGAGAGAAGACGTTGACGGGAGTCAAAGAGTGTGGCTTCCGTTTGCGACATTTAGCTGCAGAAATTTTCGCTGATCCAGGCCTTGTTGTCCGTCAAACAACCTGGCAAGATATCAGTGGAGTGAGAGTTGCAGCTGGAGGATAAGAAGTAGATTTAGGTGTCATCCCTAGATATGCGGAAGTTGACCCCATGTCAACAGATGACATCACTGAGAGGGAGCATGTAGATAAGGAAAAGAAGGGGGCCAAGGTTGGAACCACAGGTGACCGGGGGAGTGGAGGAGGGGTGGGAGGAAAGGCAATGTCAAAATGATCATTGCAATTTTTCGATGTGTCAAAGTGGCAAGTAGTATACTGAAGGGAATGTACCAGTGAGGCCCCGCAAGCAACCATGAGGTAGGTGTTTGTTCAAATAATCATCCTTGCACTTGATGTAGCTCCTTATCACATCTTCAAGATGTCTCAAAGTACTTCACAGAATACACTGTAAAGTGAATTGACTGTATATTTTATGGGCGAAACACAGTAGCCAATTGCGCACAGCAGTGTCCCACAAACAGTCGTGGATTGAGTGACCAATTTTTTTTACCACTGGAAAAGCGATCCACCAATCAACTAACAAGCGAGTTCCTACTTACTGTTAGGTAAACAGAGATGTGAGGAGTAAGGAAACTTATCCAACGTTTCGCCTTGCCAGGAATCAAACCCAGGTCTCTCACTTGTAAGGCGAGTGCTCTAACCACTGAGCTGAGGACTCCACGTAACTAATGACTAGTTATTGAATGACTAATTATTGATAATAATAATTAATAAATTGATATGACACCGTAAAATGTCTCAAAGCACTTCATAAACGTTTCTCCAAAGTGGATTTTCGCCCACTAGAAAATATACAGGCAATTTACTTTACGGTATATTCTGTGAAGCGCTTTGAGATGTCTCGGACAAGTGATAAGGCGCTATATCAAATGCGAGGATTATTATTATTACATCTGTAGGCAATGCAACAGTCAATTTGCATACAGCAATGTCGCTCAAACAGACATTGAAGTTAATGACCAATTTCTGCAACTGTCGATTTCCTAGAATCCTGGGAAAAACTCTTCCTTTTTTTTGAATAATGCCACAGGATATTTGATATCCACTTTATAGACAAACAGGATTGTTGTTTAAAGTCTCAACCAAAAAAAAGGCACCTCCAACAATATAAGCACTCCAGATCTACTGTATTGAAGCTTTGCCTTAGACCAGGGTCCAACTGGCGATTTCATTGTCTCCACCTCCACTTCATCTGGCCCACCCACTCCCTCCATAATCCGAAAGTGTTATGTTTCTGGAAAGGAAACACAAAAATATTGCTTATGCTGCCCATGGACTTTTCTCAAATAGGGCATTTGGCCCTAATCAGCCAAAAGGTTGGACCACCCTGCTATGAGTTCATAGTCTCTACGTGAGGTTTAATCAGAAGTCAATCAAAATTGAGTCCAACCCACTTCACCACAAAAGACAAATAATAATAATACAGTATTTGATATAGCACCTCTCACGTCGTGAGAATGTCTTAAAGCGCTTTGGAGGATATCCTGTAAAAAGTACTGATTTCTATAGCATTTTGGAGACGAGACGTAATATTACATATTTTACGAACCTTCTTTACACTTTTAAGCTTTACAGGAATAATTACATAATTGTACAATTCAACAAGTGAAATAAAGTGATAACAAAGAAACTGAAACAACATTCAGCAGGTAATGTAGAATGAGTTAAATTGTCTTGAGATGGATCTGGCTAACCATATCTGAAGATGGAATCAGCAGATAACATGAAACAATTCACAGGATTTACTGCTTAAAACTTTGTTGGAGTCTAGCACACACTCATAAATATAGCAATCTTTATGCTCTATATTTTAACTGGTTTTCGGACTATAAGTAAAAAAAATGACTAGTTTTATTGCTCTAGCAACAAGTATAGTGATGGAATTTTCCCCTATGGTACAATTTATTTTCTGCTTTTTATATTAGTAACCCCTATATGGATTGTGTTCCACTGCATAGATATTTTGTCAGAAATGGATAAAAGATTATTCTGAATAATCGTTCTTTGTGATTACAAATGGGACTGAAAAGATATCTCTTGAGCCAGTGTGGACATGATAGGAAAATTGCCTTTTTCTGTGCTGTTTCCTTGGTTTTATGGGCACTGAAGACAGAGAAAAGTAAGAGACATTTCTACACAGAAGTAGATTATATCAACAATATGCTATTGCTTTTTCCAGATAATGAAAATATATCTTGCAGTTATCAGTTATGACATCAGACGACCAAAGAATAAATACTATTCAGCATTTTTATTACTAGTCGAATAGCAAATAAACTTGTCACCTCTTCCATAGCTACTCCATCCAATACTTTACCCCTCTAGTATTTTTTTTATATAGTCTTTTCTATGAGGATCCTTATGATGAGTTTTAGTAGTCCTGTTTACTATCTATTCCCCTATATAACAGTACCAGTTCAAAATAACAATTTCCCAAATTATTTTTTCGAAGATGTTTAAATGTTTTTCATGATCTTGTTTAAGATACTTTAATATCTTTTAAACATACCCACATACTCTAATAACATTAACCTGTACTTTCACGTACACCAATAATAGTAACCAATGATGCCGCATACATCAATAATAGTAACCAGTACTGATCCTATGGGTATTCAACAAAGGTCAGCCCTTACGCACAATCAAACTAAATGTCAATGCCCTGGGCGTAGTAAATATTATTCTGTACGTAGGAATAGGGCAAGATATTGATGAAATATATTAATGTAGGGTAATCAATTTAGCTACAAGGCTAGTTAAAGGAGAACAGTAATGAAAGGCAGAGTACTTTAAACAAAGAATTTCTCCATTTTAAATTCAAAATGTACAATATTTTAAAAATTCTCCTAGTGAGCAGAAATGTCAGTGTTTGCCCAAAACTGTTGCTCGCAGGGAACTGAAAATGAGAAGTGCAGGTTCCCATTCTATGCTGTGAGTGCTGCACTGAGTCTTTGCTGTCCATATGTTCATGATATAAACTTGTATTCTGAACATACGGACAGCAATCTTCTCTGAACACCATTACAGAATGGAGATTGATTGCCTGATCCAGGATTAGGTATGGGGAAAGGGCAGGTAAATGGGACTGAAAGGATTGCTCTTGAAAGAGCCCGTGTGGATACAATGGGCTAAATTACTTTCCTTTGCACTATTGTTCCAGACTACAAGAACAGAGTAGAGCGAGAGACATTTCTCCACAGAAGTAGATTATATTAACAATATACTATTGC